CTCCAAAGTCAGGGTTTCCCCACTGTACTATGCTGTATCTCTTAGGAAAGTCACTTCTCCCTGACTCTTTTTCCTTATCTAGAAGAGGAAGAAGTTAAATGAGATGATCTCTATGGTGCCTTTTAGATCTGGATTTCTACCTGTATAAATTATCCTGGGGTTGACAAGCTATGGCCCATGGCCAAATCCAGCCGGCCAATTGTTTTTATAAATAAATCTTATTGGAACATAGTCACACATTCATATACACAGCCCCTATAACAGTACAGCTGAGTAGTTGTGACAGAGACACATGGCCCACAAGCCTAAAATATTGACTATTTGCTCCTTCAAAGAAAAATTTTGCCAACCCCTAGAATATACTATTCTATAAATTTTAATGGTGATACATTATACATGATGGATAGAAAAGAATCTGAAGGGTCACACAACTGGAAACAGGGTAGAGTAAGAAAGTGACTTCTACCTTGGAAGTGTTTATTGATTTGATTTACATTATACTAAGTTGTAACTTACATATAGCAACATGCACAAATCCTAAGTGTATGGCCTGCTGATGTATCCACCATCCTGATCAAGATATAAAAATTGTCTATCACCTTAGAAACTCCTTCATGCCCCCTCCAAATATATCACAAAAGATAACCTTAATTCTGAACTCTATTATCATGGATTAATTTTTAACTTCATATGAATGGACTCATGCAGTATACATACTCTTTTGTGTTTGGAAAGATACTTATTTTTAAAATGCAACTTCATCGCTGACAACTTGTAAAACCTAAGAAGTACAAATACAGAAACAAAAATTATTCTTAATGTCATTATCCAGGATGATTGCTTGCTCATTCACTCAACAAGTATTTTATTGAACATCTACTATGTATCAGACACTGCTCCAGGCACTGAAGAGTAAGACATGAGAAGGTCCCTGCCCTTGTGGAGCTTAATGTCTATGATGAACTTCTTTGTAGGCTAGTTAAAAGTCCTATGTCTACCACCACACATAGGTCTAGCCTCTGCTCTTGGACCATCTACCCAAAGGCCCAGTAATTTAAGATCTTTTTAGGAATTTCAAATCATAGAAATGTTGTTGTTGTTGCTATGTGCCGTCGAGTCGGCCCCGATTCATAGCGACCCCCCCTTGGGTTTTCGAGGCAGTATCACTACGGAAGTAGGATTGCCCAACCTTCCTTCCGAGGAGTGGCTGGTGGGTTTGAACCACCAGCCGTCTGGTTAGCATAGAAATGTTAGGGGACTTAAATAGTCATCCAGAACTCATCACTTTTCAAAAGTGGAATCAGAGGCCAAAAGAAGGTGCTTTTTCCCAGAAAGGAGTGTTGTATGCAGAACTACAACCTTACGCTACTGATCCCTAGAATGCTTTCTAGGTGAGACCCCACTCTCTAACAATAAGACATATCTTTGGCCTCCTTCAGGCCAGGCTAGAGCAGTATTTATGTCTTACTTTAGAGGCAATTTCATTTTAAGGCCTTCTAGACACTGTCTAATCAATGGGAAAGCCTTGGAGAGGAGAAGCAATAACCAAAGAAGAATAACCATGGAAAGTGAGAGCAAGGCTACATGCACAAGAACAGAAAAAAGATTCAACTGCTGCTGCAAAGTTACAAGGGAGATTAGTCCACAGGAGGTACATTTGCCATCTTACCAAGATGGAAAACCTTCAGAGAGTAAAGAGTCAACTGAGATTTTTAAGTTATTTTACCCTAGGGACTACATTTCACATTAAAAAGGTTGGATTTGAACTTCAGATGTGCCATCTGAGTAGAAGAATTAAACTAAATTCCTTTTAAGAATAAGCTATGACTCTAGAGCCTGCAGAGTCCAGCGGCTGCACTTCCTTGTATCCCTTTCATGATGTGCCTCTTCTTCCTAAGCAGGTGAGAGCCTGTCACAGTCCAGGAGCCTGCGGTTAGTAACTCATTTAATCTTCACAAAACCACAGTCGAGCATTATTAGCATTTTCCACTTAAGGGAATTGAGGTTCAGAAAAATTGCATAACACGCCCAAGTTGATAAAGCTCCTTAAGAAGATCTCAGGTTCAATTCAGATCTGTTTTATTCCCAAATTTGCCCTCTATTCTCATAGAATCCTCCTTTGACGTTCCCATCTCCCAAAGCAACACAAACTGGAGGCCTTCTTTGGAGCTGGAAAGACAGCCCAAACTTAGTTTTCATCCCAAAGCCCCACTCAAAAGTTCTGAGCTCTGATCCTAGCCCTTTCGTTAACTTACCCCAGTGGCTCCAAACAATCTCCTCAAACTATCCTGTGTCTTATCTTTCTTGTCTTTAAAACGGGGCTGACAATATTAGTCCATCACCACTTTAGGTTATGTGAAGGTTAAATGAAGATGATTTCAACTTTCAACTCTTATTTGGGAGAAGTTTAACAGAGGGGTTTATGAGATAACTCATTTATTTAGCATTTATGACACATATCCTAATCTGCTTTATGACACATAACCAGAACTACCTGCTGGCCTATTTATACTTTTCTTCTTAAATGTCCATTTTTCCACAGGTATTGATTCTGTTCCCAGATCCACAGTTGTGGGTACTAGGTAAGCACCCGCAGTACACCAGGTGACATATACAAGCAAGATTTGGGCAAGCGGGTTTTGAGAAGTTGCTCGATGTGAATGGCCAAATTACCTGGATGACATACCTAGATACACACAGGAAGTTTTCCCTGTACTCTCAGTGAAACTTCCTGTAATTCACATAGCTATTTGGGGTTGGGGGAGGAATGGGTTTGCTAACACCTGAATTTTGAAAGACAAAGAGGCTTAGGAGTCAGACTAGACCAAACAGCAGTTGAAACTACAAATCAAAGCTTTGTTGTTAAAAGGGAAGTGATTGCTGGTTTTTTAATGGGTTTTCCCAGCTAAACACAGAAAGTGATCTTCATTACACTTGACTACTTCTATCATGATAGCAAATAGAGACAGAGAAAGAAAGACTGTTCTCCAGGGACATATACTCTGAACACTTCATTATCCTGTTTGAGAGGGGCTGGGTAGCCAGGGAATTTTCCCATTGGGCTGGACTGTGAAGCACAAGGGCCTGCCATATGTCAAAACAAACTAGAAAAACAATCGGTTGAAATGAAGGCCCTTATTTCCATGAACTTGTTCTCTCTTTCTCAGGGGATTGAGAGAGGTGTTAACCTTCCATAGGTCTTCAGGCAGACAACCAGCCCAGTTCTTTGTGGCTCTCATTGTCAGGGGCCCAGGCATCCAGCAGGCCCTGTATTTAAAGGAGGCAGCCTAGATCTTCAGCAGCAGGGCTTGGACCAGTCACACCTGGGGTTTCAGCACACACACACCTGGAAGCTGGATCCCGAGCCCAGCACATGAGAGCTGCAGACCCTTCTTTCTCTATTTGGAAACTCCTCTCTATCCCTATCCCAACCTCAGCCTCCTCCCAATTATCTTTAGAAGATGGGAGAGGCAGAACGTCCTTAGAAAACCCTTTGCAAATTCCCAGCTGCTGAATTTGTGTCCCTGATCTTCCAGTGCCTTCAACCTCAGAGCTCAGTTTTTTAAGGCTGGATCTCCATGACTTTGCCAACCCTAAGCTTCCTGTGGGTGGGGGGTGGTAGGTTTTACTACTGGGGTTTCTGCCTTTCCAGACTAAAAAGTGTAAACACTTGGACCAACCTCCCTGTGCTGTAGTATCAGTAGTATCCCCATTTCACATATAAGGAAGCAGAGGCTCGGACAAGCAAAGGAGGAGTCTTCTATCCCAGAAGATAAGGGTCTGTGAGAGAAGGGTCCCAATGAGACCCTTCCTTGTTCTTCTGCAGGCCAGGCCCCAGCCTGTAGGTCTGAGCGCCCCTCAAGCAGCCTTCCTTCCACTCCGCGGCGCGGGGAGAGGGAGGGCAACACTCTGGGTGCTGAAAAACTATAACTTCCTTCTCCGCCTTGGGAAAAAAAAATTTTGCCTCAGCGATTTTGTCCGCGGCGTTTACTCAACTTGGCGTTGGACGCTCCCGCCACTCCCGCAGTGACCTCGCGTCTGCAAAGCGCGTCCCGGGCCCCGGGAGCCGCGAGTGTTCTGGAGCTGCAAACAAACCAGAAACCAGTGGGTCGCGGTAAATGCGGCTCCAGCTGTCTATCCAGCGGCGGGCCGAGTTTTGCTTTCCCTGCTAGGAAGGAGGCCCGGTAATCCCAGTTTTGCCCGGCTTTAGAAAGGAGAGCGCGGCCGGCGCGGCCAGATCTCTGGCGGCTCTGCCAGTCTGGGCCCTGCTGCAGGCCCGCTGCTAACCTTGGCTACTCCCTCTGGCCATAAATTAGCTGGCGCCTCCTTCAAGGGTCCTCCCGAAGCTTTTCCTTCACCTACGCTCTTGGAGCCGAAAGTTCTGCAAATCCAAAGCGCCCAGCCCGGCAGGGGAAGGCCTCGGGCCTGGGCAGCAGTAACAGAGGTAGAAGTAAATAGAGTCCCTCCAGTCTCCCATTTACTCACCCCAGCTACCACCACCCCACTTCATCCAGCTCCCCGCGCCCATCCCCAAACTGTCAGTTGGTCCTCCGCTCCGCTGCTTCTCCTGGCCCACCACCTGCATGGACTGGAACAACTGAAACGCCTTGGAGGGTCTCCACTCTTCACCTCATCCCTCACCCTCTACTTCCAAAAGCACCCCCACCTTCCTCTAGTCACCTGAACCACCGAAGCGCAGTTTCTTCATCTCTCGGGACCAAGGCGGGACCTGCAGCCGGTGGAAAAGCCCCCGCGCCTTCCATGCTAGGCTGCAAGCACCCTGCTTAACAAGTCCAAAGGTCAGCTAAAGTTTGGCTGATAAACAGAACCAGTCAAAGAAGGTCTTTAGCCCCCCAGCGGGAGTACAATGGCTCCTGGCCAGCCTCGCTCCGGCCGGGGCCTCGGCTCTCCACATCTGCCCCTCCAGCGCTCCCTCTCTCTTGGTTTTCCCCCCTCCCCACCATCATTTGCATCTTGCCGAAAGCCTGGCCCTTCCCACTAATTTGCATATCTTATATGGCCTAATGGTGGCGATCATGGCAAGTTAGAAGTTTTCTGACTCCTCTCGGAGGAGACTCCGGGACCCCGGGAGTAACAGGTGTCAGGAGGCTGAAGGGTGGGGGGGCTTCTGGACTTGGGGTTCGCTGGCGAAACTCCCCCTCCACCCTCCTCTCTCACCCACCCACCCCCTCACCCCCTTCTTTTCCCGTCCTTGGAAAATGGTGTCCAAGCTCACGTCGCTCCAGCAAGAACTCCTGAGCGCCCTGCTGAGCTCTGGGGTCACCAAGGAGGTGCTGGTCCAGGCCTTGGAGGAGCTGCTGCCATCCCCGAGCTTCGGGGTGAAGCTGGAGACGCTGCCTCTGTCCCCCGGAAGCGGAGCCGAGCCCGACACCAAGCCAGTCTTCCATACTCTCACCAACGGCCACGCCAAGGGCCGCCTGTCCGGGGACGAGGGCTCCGAAGACGGGGATGATTATGACACCCCTCCCATCCTCAAGGAGCTGCAGGCGCTCAACACCGAGGAGGCGGCAGAGCAGCGGGCCGAGGTGGACCGGATGCTCAGGTAGGTAGGCGCCAGGCGAGGCTGGAGGTTTGCGCCCGAGACCCCTGCACCCCGGGCCCTTGGGCCTGAGCGACACTGCGCTCGACCACTTTCACCAGCCTGTTTCCCACCAGAGGAGTCCCCCGGGGGGAGCTCCACTTCTCTCTCAGCACCTGGACCCCTCCTAGTCTCTCTACCAAAGGACTCGGGGACCCCACCGCTTCCTCTCCCCAGGCCTAGCCACAGCTCCAGGGACACGAGGGGCCCTCCAGGCGTGGCTTGGGTTTGGCCGCGATAACCGGTCCCTGGAAACCCTTTGCCCAAGCGACTGGAGGTGCGAGTGGGTGCCAACAGACAGCAGCGTTTTCCCCAAGGGCAGAGGCTCGGGCCAGCACCCAGGTCACTCATTTTTCCCAGTCGCCGCTCTGGGGTCTGGAAAGACACAGGCCAACCTCTGGCACAGCGTCCTTCAGTTCCTTGCTGAGGACAGGCGGCACCCAGGGCCACGATCTCGGAGGCGAGTTCTCTGGTGGGCACCCGCGCTAGGTGCGCGGATGCACGACCCCTGGATTATCCCCCGAACTGGTCTACGTTTGCAAAGGGTAATGTCTGCAAGTAGGATGGGGTGGTCCCGCGCGGGGCAAAAAGGAAGCACGCATTTAAGCCAGTGGAGAGCAACTGCGGCCAGAAGCCCAGGTCTCAGGGAGTTTGGTCGCAGTCTGAGAAAGAAGGGCACTTCGCGATCTCGCCGCCGACAGCCCGGCGTCCCCTGGGAATTCAGGCAGGCTGGCGGCTATCCTGGGTCCAGGATCGTTTGCCGTACCTCCCCAGCCGGCCTAGGGCTTTGACAGCTAGTTACTAATTATCCAAGTAGCCGAGCGGTCCCCTTAGACCGCACGCCGCTCCCAGCCAGTCGGCTTTAGGACTGAGCCGCTCCAGAGCCTCGGTCTCGAGGCGACCGCCAAGACCCAAGCCGCTCCTGGGAAGCTGGAGGCCTCGGCCGCAAGCCTGCAGCCACAATTTGGAATGGGATATGACCTTGCATTTGAATTTGCGCTCCAGGGGCCTGGAGGCTTGCCCTTCAGTCATGGCAATAGTGTAGAACTTCTAAGTTATTTGTCACAAATATGTTGCTCCAATGCGGTTTTCTTCACCGTTTTGCTGCGTGGCGGCGATTTCTCCCGGGGTAGCGTTAGGGCGTAGGAAGGTGAGAAGGCTCGGAAGACCGATCCCTCGATGCGGCTCTGGCACCAGCGCGGCCTAAAGGCTGACCCGGGCCTTGCGGACGATCCGGACTCCTGCGGCCTTCCACCAGGAGCCCGCCGGGCCTAGGTCCTTCTGCCGGCCGCAGGCGCCCGCTTTCTGGCCTGGCGCTCGCAGGATCCGGGAAGCCGGAGGGGACCTAGGGCACCCCTCTGCACCCAGCCCCACGCCAGGCTGGTTGCAGCAAAGATGTAACATAAACTACAGCACGTGGAGTTTGGGTGTTATTAATTTATTTCTATAAATCATCAACAGAAAGATACACAAAGAGCCGTGATTAGGTTGAAAAGAGAGGCGGGTTATTCATTGGTGAAGTTGTAAACGCGGCTTAGAGGGAGACTGCAATCCAACTCCGACGGGGGCCTACTCGCAGCTCCCAGCGCACACGCACCGCGCGCGGGGCGCGCCAGCCAGGCCCCCACGCCACCCCGCCGCCTGACCCGGGCTGTCCGAGCGCCCAAGCCGCCTGCAGAGTCCGAGGGCCGCCAGGAAGAGTCAGGCCTGGCTCGGAGAACCTCAGCCCCCAGCCCTCTTCCCTTCGCAAAGCCCCTCAGCTGGGGGGTGGGGAGTGTCAGGACCCAGGCCCTCCCTGGGGTGGGGATCCAGGACAGACTCCAAGGCTTTCCTCCTTTTTCCAAAAGGGTGCTGCCTCCCCTCCCCCACCCCGAACGCGGTTGGACTTTATTAATTTTCCCAGAAAGCGTTCGCGGTTCCCAGGTCACTGCACCGTGGGCTCCGGAGTGCCGGCACACGCACTGCCTTTTTTGTCCAAC